TTGCGTTTGCCAGTCAAGCGCTTATCCTACTGAGCCATCTCCCCGGCCCCTTGTGAATTCTTATGCTCTCATGAATGACTCTTGTTATCTTCTTCCCTTTTTTCTTTTTCCAGAAAGAATCTGAGTGAGCTAGAGGAGATCCAGCAGTACTTCAGCCAGAAGCTCACCAAGCCTTTCCCGCCTTTCAGTCCGCACACGAATCCTGCCATCTCACAGTGCCAGGAAAACCGCAGGGACTGCCTGGGAGCAGGAGTCAGAAGACATGACCTGCAGAGCCAGTGCATTCTGGAGAAATCCAGTGACCTGGTGTTGCAAATCAACTCCTTAATCTCAGGTATGACTCACTGTGTCTGCTTCAGACAAGCCTCTGAGTAGAACAACAGCTTTTAAATCATTTTATTTTGTTCTGTTTTGTTTTGTTTTGTTTTGTTTTGTTTTGTTTTGTTTTGTTTTGTTTTATGAAACAGGGTCTCACTATGTAGCTTAGGCTAGCCTTCAACTCACTACCACTCACTATGCAACCCAGGCTGGTCTCAAACTCGCAGGGATCCTCCTGCCTCAGCCTTCTGAGTGCTGGGATTACAAGTATATGCCACCATTCCTGGCCTGTCTTCCCTTTTTAAAAGGGGACATGTTAGTGTGGCACAGGAGCACGCAGCAGTGGAAAGAGCATTGAGACGCAGGTCCTTGTATTTTCTGGATAGACTTGCTGTTTCATCTGGAGCATCTCTTTTTCCTTTCTTGAGATTTGTTTCCTCAATGAGAAAGAGACAAGAGTGGATTAGATGACTGGTTTCTAGCAGTTCTTGAACATGTGTTGCTCATTTTTCAGAAAAAAGTCAACTACAAACATGGTTAAATTTGTCTCAAAATCTAGAAGTTTATATTCTTAATAAGCACCCTAGATGCTTCTGGATGTTGGGAGTTCATAGTACACCTGAGAAAAGTGATTCTGAATTACTAAGGGGGTTATAAAAGCCCAACTAACCTGCCTATACACAGGGCCCCAGAATCTCTGAGGCCGAACCCACACATAGT